ACTGCTTTTCTGCATCTCTGCATAAAACACATCCAGATTCAGGCATTCCATCTGATCCTCTTTGGTAGTGGGACCTCCGCCCTGGACATAACAGCAGTCACATGCATCCCCAGGGTAATGACTGCATACAATGACGTAAAGTCTACTTCCCTGATCCGACAGGCAGATTGTGTCTTCAAAGAATATGCTCCTACGATGGCCGTTGATGCCCTCTCCGTTGTGAAATGACGCCTAAAATAAAATAAAAGAAAAGAAAAGAGAAAAGAAAACACCACTACCTTCTTCCCCCGAATACAACGTACGGTCATTGTAGCTGTATCTAGACTGAAAGATACCTCAAATACAGCTATAATGACGTTAAGTTGTATTCGGGGGGCAAGAAGGTAGCGCCCGAATCTGGACATGTTTATGAAGATGTGCAGCTGCTGAAACCAAGCACAATCTTCTGCGCATCACCACAAAGAAGTCCAGATTCGAGCCTTGAGGAAACTCAACGCGGCCACTACCGTCTTCCCCCGAACACAACGCAACCTTATTTTGGCGGTATCTGGCTGGAAATATGTCTTGTATACATTCATTTTTAGGGTGCGTTATGTTCGGGGGAAGACGGTAATGGTCCTTGGCCCCAGGGTGTAACAAGGCCCAGGGGTGTGCTGGTGACCTGATGTAACTTCGACGTTGACTGCAGCCAGATACATCCGCCATTTTTTGCTGGTGACCTGATGTAACTTCAACGCTGACTGCAGCCAGATACATCCGCCATTTTTTGCTGGTGACCTGATGTAACGTCAAGGTTGACCGCAGCCAGATACATCCGCCAGCTGTACCGAGGACATATGATGGACCTCGCGTCACTACGGACCACTTGTACAACCACTTGTACGAAAGACAGAAAATATGGCAGTGAATCTACCCAGGTTCTAGCGGGAAATTCCTTCTCCCTGAGTAGCGGAGGGATGCGACAGTTACATCCAATCCAATCCACGAATCCCAACAGACGGAAGAAGCTACTGACAGCAAAAAAAAAAAAAAAAACAGACCCATCCACACAAGCAATGGGTCGCCATTGGCCTGCCCTCAGAATTTCGGGTGCCGCCCATAAATTCCGGTCCCAGACGGATTCCCCACCCCTTTCCCCCCTCTCTCTTACTCCTGCCAGCTTCCCAACTACCATCACGCTCCCCGCCTACTGGTATGTGCCCTACGACCACCACGCTGCTCGACACAAAACGACAAAAGTGAAGGGTTGTAAACGCAGCCCCTACAGGCTGCGAACTCAGCTCAGCACTTTCCTTTTTTTTTTTTTTTTTTTTTTTTTTTTAATCAACCCGATCGGATGCTAGGTGTGCTGATAAGAGCAGACACATCTAGCACCCTCAGGGAGGCTCCATCTATTTGTGGGGAGCAGCACCTGCTGGAAATTGGGTCCAGCGTCCCCTTGGATACATCTTTGTAGCACAGTGTTTGTTGGGCATATGGCCATTAGCGTTGTTGTTCCCGAGCTTCCTTCTCTCCCCCGGGGCTGCCTATGTTACCCTTCCAATTTGCAAAGCTCCTACTTCCCACTGACCTAGGCAAATTACATCAGCACAGTAGCCAACAACAAGGACAGCCGGGTTGTCCCACCCCACAGGGAGCTCGGAGCCCCGTCCCTGTATGTATAGACGGTCTTCGCA